GCCTGCAAAACGGCAGTATTAATTGCCTTTCCCTTTGCCAGCGTCATACATCCCGCGGTTTTTCAGTTTGTCCGTAGTAGGGGGCGTCCATCCTACCCCACCCCTCGTCACGGATGTATATCCCCCACATGCAATCGACCATTTTCCCCTGCACAGCTAGACGCTGAATCGATGAGATTAAATGACTCACGTGAGGCTGGTCATTAGGCGAGGAGGGTGTGAAACTGATCCTAAGAAAACATGTCAATAAAATGGCCGCCGCATGCAAAAACAACACTGAATTGTTTTCTCATTCCTCCATGGCATTATCTTTCACTGTCCATCCACGTGAGTTTGTGCTGGCTTTACTGATGGTAAGTCGGCAGCAGCCATTTCGGTGGTATTACGTATTTGTAATGCGTTCGATTGATTAGATCAGATAAGCATATCACAGTCGAAACAACTCAAATTTTACAATACTTAAGTGATACCTATTCAGTGATACCAATTATACCTATATACGAAAACAGACACGGATAGGCCTATGGAAGTGAGCTAAAGACAGCATAAGGAGTTGGACAGCACAATGAAACCGGTAGCCCTCGGGTGGTCAGGAGAGCACTGCGCAGGCGCTATTTCAACTTTACAAATTGACACTTGAAAGATTGTTGCAATAACCCCCTACCGTACCCAACAGTAGATGCACCTCGGTATTGTTTGCATCTTATCCTGAAAGAGATCTTTATCCTCTTTTACAACGCAAGAGGACCTTCAAGTGACATAAATAAAGACTCCAGATTTGTCCTTGCATTTACCCCTGAATTGCAGGGCGAAACCGCGTGGGGTCGAGGCATTGTCTGGGGCTGTTGATGCTACTCTCACCACGACAAAAGTAGGAAGCACTCAAAAAAGCATCTGACGAATACCTTACAAGATTTACCTTTGTTGCTATTCCGCTAATAACAGGAATCCACATCTAAGCCTCGACCATGGTGATCAGCGAATGATTATTGCGGCTCTCGGCTCTCAGCCGGAGTAGTGTTACATTTGGACCCCCATTAAAATGGACTCCTTGATCATACTTCGCAGGGCTCTGACAAAAAAAACATGAAACGAGAGAAAAGGCAAGGCTAGTTTTAAGGGCAGAGTGCCTTTGACTATATATCTTCTGCGTATTTATAGCTCGAGATATTGAAGATTGGATAGTTTAAACGCACGTACAAAGAAACTCCACATTCGTTCAAATTTTGCACTTCGGTACGGATTCCACTTCTTGGTTTTTGACATAAACATATTATTAAAAATCTCCGAAGAATTTCAGGAATTCCAAAAATTGGAATTTCAAGGATGCGGAGAGAATGGCATTCCTTATTGCACTGATGTTTAAAATGTAATCATTCACTGATAATTTATTTCACTTGTCAGGATTTCTGAGTAGTTCTTATTGCAGGAAAGAAAATGAACATTTCTGTGATTTTTGTTTCAAGTTGAGAGGCCATACCGAAGAAACATAGGAAGAGAAATGATTTATTGGCGATGCAGGGAAAGTACATTTCTAAAACAAAATCCAAATCGAGTAGGTAATCTGGTAGAAATGTTTAAACTGTAAAAACTGATTAGTACAATTCCAATTACCTGACTAAAGTCCGTTTTTAATATAAGCCTCTCGATAAATGTGTTTTGCGAAAAACAGTGTCCCATCTTTAAAAATCATTGATAAGTGGCACATTATGCTTGTTACGACAAGATGCTGACTGTCACGTGACCCCAGTTGTCCGCCGAAACAACAAATTCTTCCTGCTTTATCTTCAATATAATGTTTAAAGTTTAATGTACTTCCGGGAGTTACCAAGGAAAACAAGAAAAAAATGTTTGATGTGTTGTTAATCATGAAGAAACTTAAAGGTAAAAACAACGTTTAGAGTTTCAACACTTTTTTGTACCCACTTTTCCACACGTTTTACCCATGACATGTTTATAATCAAAATGTGTTTAGGACTGTGTTTATGCGCTAAACGCTTTTCCGAGGTACATGTTCAGCTTTTTAAAATGTTAGCATTTCAAAACATTCCTAAACCATAACGCTAAACATGTTGCGGTTAAACATGTCAAAAAAGTGGGTACCCCCAAAAAATGTGTTTAGAAATGTGTATATTATTCTAAGCGTTGTTTTTACAGTGTAAAACCAATTTAAACCTCATAACCCCCGTATGGAAGGTTTACGTGGTTGTGCTTGCCTTCAGCCAGACGAAAATCATAACCTGCTCACAGTGTTGTCAGCTTAGAACGTAACACACGGTCAACCATTTTGTGTTTGCTTTTCCTGGCTGTGTGTTTTGTGCATCACTATGGCCACAGCAGCGTCCAATCACACGTTGATGAGCCAAGCTGTCTACACACTGATGAGAGTTAAATCCGTCATTTAAATCACAATAGCCCCATGGCACAATAGGACCAAACGCCCTGCCCCTTTCGGTCCCTTCTTCTCTAATTAGCTACGAACCGTTTGTCATTGTGCGGCGTAGCGATATTCGATAACCTGCGGTACACTTTAACAACAGCTTGCGTGGCCAGACTAGTCAGCGATAACCGTTATTTGTATAAAGGTGCAACTCTCAAAAACGGTCTAACGGAATGATAAATACAATGGAAATCAGACAGGAATTCGTGAGTAGCCTCTGATTATTGTTGATTTTTTGTTAACTGAGTTTAAAGACTGAATTTGAAGCGGTCTCAGTATTTGCTTGGGACGTGTGTTGGATCGGAAAGTCTAAAGAAGCAAATCGGATTTATTTTCATGTGGAGAGGCTAACATTGTGTAAGAGTAAACCAGATGCTTGTCCACAATTTTAAATTTGCAGTGGATATCTCTTACCTAGACTGCCAAAAAGTTCACTTACTTTGTAGATTGATGTTAGTACATTTTGCTCATGAATGTATCTTCTTTGCATCTTTTGGTGTATTGTATAAAAATCGCCTCAAAGGATGACTATTATTAGCGAAATGCACAGTCTGTCTTTCGTGTTTTTCACGCTCGTTTTTGTTTGCTTAGGTGTCAATTTTTCAGTGTTTTGTGACCGTGTCATGAACTAGAAAGCTAGTACCTGGCGAGAAAATTCCCAACACTAGTGCCGTTGGCAATATTCCTGGGAAGCTTCCATTTCGTGGATTGATCGAAATGTATCTTCTTACAGTTTAAAAGTTCAGCATAAATTAATATGGCTTTGCTTCATTGCTGTGTCATGGTTTAGGCATGGTATATTGACACTGCCCTCATACAGTGTAACACGAATGGAAAGGTGTAATTTATTCTGTCTCGATATTTCAATTCAGTGGCAAAATGTGAGCACTGATACAACATTTGATAAAATTTCATTCAAGACTACGTAAAATGGAATCATCGGGTAAAAATATTCCTTTGGACCTTTCTTCCCCTTTCTGGAGAGTGTGTTTTAGCGACCCTGCTACGCCTGTCGTACATTTTAAATGTTGATGCTTAGAAGTTACTCTTGAAGCTATATTTGGCAGTGACTGGGGTATTCGGTGCGTAGTTTGACGTGTTTATTTTAATAAAATTCAGAGGAAACGCTGGATGCATGCACTGTGCCGTAAACATACTCCCGATTGTCTCATAAGAGGTTGCATGTTCACAGCACGACAGTGTTGTTACACCCACGAAGGTCACGATAACGTGGACACTGCACCCTCGAATCAAAGTTGTGACAGTCTCCAAAATAGCGAGTTGAGAAAGAGGACAGAATGTCCTCGGAGAAAATATGGAGAACGAGTTCCACATCCGTGACCTTTATTATTCATGCTGAGGTTCCGTGCCTACGGGGTTTATATGGCAACATCTGCAACTCCGCTGGTATACAAGGATTCAAACATGACTGCGCAAACAGCTACATATAGTCAGAGCGTTGTACTATGCACAGCTGATATCGATCGCTCGTAAACTCAAGGAACGGTTTGCTTTTTTTCTCAACTCATTTTCCATAGTCGTTTCAGTAGAACGGTTTATTCTCAACCGTGCCAACGGTGTAGTTTGTAATATGGCACAGCGGGATGACAGCAAGGTCACTGATTCATTCGGGTGAAAGAGTGCATGTGTTGCGGCTCGATCATGCCTGGGTCTTTGAAGTCGCACAGGCTTTTATAGCATATGAGATATTAAGTCAGTGTGTTGTCAAATGTAAAACTTGCACATGCATAATTATTAAGTCCAATAAATTGATAAATTGTCGTTTTTGTTTAAAATTGTAGTTTTGTTTGCATCATCATTTGTTTATTAAATACTTCAAATGGATACAAATGTCAGAAACTTGAGTTGCCCTGATAGCTTGTACATTTCTTTCACAAAACGACATATACTCTTTCGTAGTCATCATAGAAGTATTTTTAATGTAGCAGCATAGATGCGTCCCCTTGGCGATTTCTCTCTAGGTTCTTGACTGGCGTAGGTTTCCTACGTTTAACTGCTGCACTGTTAAAGCTGAGGGTTAAAGGGAAACCATGAACTCCTAAAATTTTCTTTTTTTCCTTATAAAACATCTGTATATAGTTTTGGGTAACTGAGGTAAGCCTATGTACAAAAATAATAATAAAACCTGAATCAGACCACGGTCCGGTGCCCCAACAGCAAAGTTAGTCCCCACATTAAAGGAAAGTGCTTTTCACTGCAGATTGAAATTCGGAGTGCAGTCTCTCGTTCTTTTTATTTGACGGTTGATGAAGATGTTTTGCTCCCCGACAAAATCGATACTCAATCGATTAGCATCTTACCCCGCTGGTCCCCCAACACCACATCCATGCACTGACCGTGGTTGCAGTTGGCTCCCGCGTACTGCCATCCCTCCCCAACTCCCGAACAAGCAGAATCAGTTCCCAACGTCTACAGGGGGAAATCAGTCAGTCACTCAGTCCCTGAGAATTGCCGCCATAATACCCTGTCATTATTCACATTCTTAGCAGCTGATCCCTCTAAAGGTCTTCCTGTTTCTCCCGTGCTCGCTCTTTACCAGATTCCTGGGCCTGCAACCCGCTGAGGTCAGATGCGCAGGACGCTATCACAGCCTTTCCTCATGAACAAATGTCAGCACAGCGCTAGGACAAGGTGACACCGTCTTGAAACAACAAACATGGATGCTATATCGTTTTGTGCACCACTGGCGGTGCTACTACACGTAATGTTTTCCATCTTTGCGCAAGGTAAGGGAAATCCACTTTCACAGAAGAGGGTTTTTAGGTGAAATCATGGAAAAGAATTTGGGAAGTTGTAAGATAAGAACTGGATCCTGTTTGATATTTGACCAATTTTTAACTCTGTAACGCCACTGATAATTTTACTACATATGGAATATCGTGGAGATTTTTTCATGTTGTGAATTGACCGAACTTTGCAAAGTTTCTGTTTACCAAAGATCTTCATTTGTTACTTTTCGACACACTAAATCATTCATATTATGAAATCTCTGAATATAATATAACATTGAAATAATGGTTACTTTCAATGTAAAACTTGGGTAAAATAACTTGATCCATGTGTTGTGGAGAGTCAGGGTATCGATAGGCTATCAAGAAACCATTACAGATGTAAATCATTTTAATAAAGATTGTCGCGAAAAGAATATATTGGTAATCTCCAGCACTCATTGGCAATTTTAATTCGTAGTTCTAATTTAAACATTTTTCAAGACATATGAATCAAACAGTTGCCAAAATATTTGACTTACTCAAGCACTTTACAGATTTCTATCAGGAAAAGATAAGATGAATTTTTAACTCTTTGGCTTGTGTATCAATTTCAATTTCTCAAGATGGTTTCCTGTTGACGTCAGAGAGATGACATCATAAACTTGCCAATGCTCGGGGTATAATGCTTTTAAAACAGCGTTGGTTTTGAAATAGACAGGAACATCTGCTTTTAACTATCACTATACCTAAGTTGAAGTCTTTTAAAATATCAGAATTTCAAGTTGTTTGGAATTGCTTTAAGAATACTCTTATTGGGTCTTCCATTTTATAGCCATTCATTAAAATATTAAGACACTGCCTTATATTTTTGTAGCTTTATTTGATTACTTGTTTCAAACCATTTTTCCTTAACAGCTAAAATTGGCTGCAAAACCCTATGTTGTTTAAATCGAAACTCCTAATATTATAACCTCTAGCAGAAGCACCCCCCCTCATCTGTTGAAAAGAGCCGCGTAGGTCACGTTCAATTTGTTGGTAGCACAGCAACTATGATGCATGCATTTCCCAATCGTTCGTGAACCTGCAAAGTTCAGTTCCGACCAAAGGAACCTCCGTTGCTCAGCAGAAAATAGCACCCTCTCTTTGTCCAACTCGAGGCCCATAGCGTGAGGGTCAATCAATTTCATTGAAAACTCATGTATCCCGATGACAAATATTTTCAGGCTGTGCAAAAAGATATCTGAAGCGTAATGAAAGCCAGGCTGCCTTTATGATTCTGTACGCATAGATGTTAATACAGTCTTTTTCAATGCTGTACATCGTACGCGAACACGACAGGGATGGAGTCAAATTTTAGACACCGGTTTGATCAGTGAGGGGATTAATACTTGGTTTATTTTTACCCTGTTGCTGCGTCGCAAAATATTGTGTCGTCAGGTTAATGACACGGCATTACTCCAGTTTAATAATGACATCTGGATTCAATGAAATAACAATCAAGCACCACTTAAGACAGACTGCAGCCTAATTTTCGTTTGATGTAGAGCGCTACTGCTCGCCGTGTGCCATTGGTACCGCAATTAACGTACCAGAAGTGCATTCTTACATTGGATAACGTAGAGATAGGCTTATGGCAACTGGCTGCATTTGAAAGTATTTACGTCGCGGACCATCAAACCATGACATTGAAATGAGAGGCATGGCCTGTTGACACACCACCCAAATGTAGATATTTTCCTATTCAACTTTGTGTTTCTGCGTCACAGTTTACAACAATCGCTTGGTTTTAACATTGGACTAAGATTGCGCAACGCATGGTTTAATACTAACCAGAAATAGATCTCATGTCACTTTAATAAGTTAAACAGGTTCCACCCATGTCTATGCCTTATTGTTATTTTTTACTGTCGTCAGTAGTGATTTTTTTGATTGGAGGTCAACGAAATTAAAGAAGCCAGATCTGTTAAAAAATGAAGAAAGCGTAAATAGTGAATAACAGGCGTGAATCCAGGGAGTGACTTTGGGCCCAACTGCTCTGCCCCCCCCCCAACAAAAACGTAAAATGGACAAATAACAGTTGATGTATTTAAAACTTTGTTATTTAATGAAATGAAAAGACGGCATCATACCATATGAATGAAGGAAAATCATTAACAATATAGTCTGCAACAATTAGATATAAAAATAAATCTGACGGGCTGGACCCTTCCGCTGGAAACAAATTCCAGGATCCACCCTGGATAACCATCAAAGATGCCAGCAAAGTTCCTTTTGACAAGAATGATTTTCCATTTGGTTAGATGATTATTTTCCCGCATGGACAGTACAAAACGGGGTTATATAGGAACGAGTTCGTGGATGCTTTCGGGAATTTGGTCAATTTGAAGCATTTAAACTATTGTACCGAGATCTGAGGGAAATGATATAATGCCTGAGTTATTCCTGTATACTCCACAATGTTCACAGGGGTTGAATTATGTGGATATGTCATCAGTCTTATCCCAGGAATTTCACCAATACAATCGAGGGAGCATTTCTATTCGCTGACTGTGATAGTGTGGTCGTAATTGAGTATGGTATCAAGTGGCTTATCAACATATATCTGAATCGAAAGAGTCTGTAAATTGAATGAATGAATGCAGTAGAAATATGTCAAATACGATATCACTGACAATCAGCCATTTAGCTATTCAGTGAACAAAGTACACATGTCTTGTACTTGTGAATCATCGAAGCATAAACCCACACGTACGTTTATCGGTCGATGAGAGCAGTGGAACTACCAGCTATTTCTGTGGAACCAAAGAATAGATGACAACGCACTTCACATATTACCAAAAAGCATACAAATAGGTCCAAGTTCTCTGATTATGATTGTAATCTGAACACAATTGAGAAATCTCATTGTTCAATTTTGCAGCACGCTAATTGTTAATTGCCTATCAAGTTCCGGGATTAGAATCTACCTATGCGCATTTGGATTACTGTACCGTGTTATGCACCACTATTAGGATGCAGCAGCTAGCCTCATTGATTATTTGTACTCATTCGTTCAGTGTGACTTTATCTAAGACTAAACAGCCCCGTAGTAGCTGCCTGGTTCACATAAGACGGTGAAAATATTAAATCACAAGGTAATGTAAAGATTAACCAGGGATAGCAGAAGTTAGATTTCTCAGTAATTCCTAAAAGTGTCAATTTTTTCTCGACTTGTCCAGGCAATATCTTTTTTGAAAAATTGGTGCATAGAATGGAAGATAAAAGAGTATCATTATTTTGACATGATGTTTTTAATATCGTTTGTCAATCGCCATATAATATTCGCGTTTTGTCTCATTTTATGTTAATCACCACTTTTAACACCAAACAGCCGTCGTGTGGAATCACCATCGCTTGATGAAATCCGACGCTCTATCAAGTTCATGTTGACAGCTGGTTAGTTTGTCGTCCGTCATTGGGGAGGCCAGCCCGATTAGGTGAAACAGTAATTGGGCGCGTGTACGCGGTAAGATTAATCAGCCAGACGCGGTGGTAAACTCCGTGTACTTTTCCCTGCAAGACCTGTCCGGGTGGGTTTTTTTTTTCTGATCTGACACCAGTTTGTCACATCTACGGAGAGGCATGGGGTTCTTCATGCACCACCGCTCGCTTTCCTGATGGTGGCACCACGGTCACGTGGGCCTACACGTCAGCCAGGACGAGGTTTTATTTTCTCCCCCGTCGCCAAACTTAACGGAAGCGCTGATCAAGTCTCGCTGTGCACCTCCGTCTTAAACTTTAACCCCTTGAGGCCTCGTTCCCCGTTTCCATTTCCTGCCGTGGGGCAGCTTAGCTGATGTCGTCTGTCAAGTCATCTGCGTCCCATGCTTGAACTAGCATACTTCTGGGTTTTGAGTAATTTTCGGACAGTAACAATAACTGTCCGAAAATTAGATTTGCGCCCATACTTATGCGCCAATTGATAAAGTACCTGGAATCACTAAATCACGAATGCCACAGAACATCTTGGAGACGGGACTGTCAATTTTAAGCTTATAAACAGCGCTAATACACAGTCTTTAATTGTGCCCGATCTTTACGTCAGTAGATATGAACACACCCTGAAGTACAAAGTATGTGACGTGGAAAACCCGCAATGATGAGCTGATTGCTGGATGGATCTCGACGATAATGAAATGTAATTCACTGTCAAAACACTCTGATAACTAAGTCCTTCCTTCTTTATATAGAAAACGTTTTACGTCACAAAAGTGAGAAGAGAGGGAATTTCTTGGGGTCGATAGAGCTTAGGTGCAATAATCGAATAGCGCATGCTGCTATGGGATGGTGCATGCTCTCCAAGGATCCACTATGATAATGTTCTCGCCACATTAAGGGACAGGAGTTCCCTCGCGATCTCCCAGTTGGTTAATTATATTACGAAACCCCGGAGGCAGTGGCCCTGATCTAAATTTAAGACTCCATAATAGCTCCAGATATCTGGTCATGAAATACTGGGAGAAAAAAATGAATCGTAGTAAAGATTGGCGATGCAACGTTGACGCGGGACAGTGAAAAAAAAAGAAGATACAGCTCTGCCGATGAGTGTTTGTAAAATTAGTGATTCATCTTTGCAGAAAGCATCCCATTTTATCTTTCCTGTGAAAAAAAATCAATATATTTTGAGCAAATAGGATCCATGGATTGTATTAGCCTGTAATTCTACGTCACAGTCAGAGTCATTAGTTTGTAACACTAGAATTAAATGGTGATTAATGACACTGCAGTTAACGGCTGAAAGTCGCGACTTCTAAATGGATAGATGTGACGTGTGTGAAACCATAGAGCTGGGTTGTAGCTCTATGGTGAAACCAACTGCGATGCAGTGGAAAAAAGTACAAGCCAAATCCCGAGGGGTCCCAGTAATATTTGCATTGAGTTCAGTGTCTGAAATTCGTGATATTTTAAAGGTTAAAATAAGGGGAGAAACAAACAAAACGATTCGATCGTAACGGAATGTAACAACAACAACGTTT